GATCAAAATACCACCTGCGTATGCAGATTAGTACAGGCAAAATTGAAGATGTGAAGGTACTTCCGATGCCTATCATTTCTATTTTGCTGGTTGACTGTTAGTAAGTGTTACCACCTATGTATAAAAGAAGAAATTGCATTGGCAGTCTATACTTCCTAAATTGTAAGTAGTGCAAGTAATTTTGAACGTTACCTTCACTAGTGCAGGAATGCACAAAAAGCATTTTAAGCCCTATATAAGGAGAGAATTCCCAAACTTGGTGTATGAATTATATATCTAGCATTCTTGCAGCACTAGTATCCATAAGGATGAAAGCTGATAAGTTATTCCAAGCTGGGAGGGCTGATGCTGTCTAAGACAGAAAACAGCCCACTTAGCAAATAACCAATGTGAACCCCAAGACATATCCCATCTGGGTCTGTGTGAATATTGCTCTGCCGACGTTATTGACTATCGGCTTTTAACCATTTGTCAGAAATAACCTTGTCTCGTAGGGTCGTAGTGCTTTTATTGCTTTTTGCAATGTTCAAACGATTGAATACTTGTAGTTTTGTATTGATGTACCAAAGTAACAGCAGGATTGCATATCAATGTTCAAGTGGAATTTGTCATATATGCATCTCAAAATATTCTTACATTTCCAGTTTAAAAGAGATCAGCAAGACTAACAAAGAAAATAATGATGTCACATTTGGATAGATGTTTTTGACTAGGCTGAACATTTCGTGAGGTCTACTGTCTATCTAGCCTTTCTCTTGAGCTCATTCAGCCATTTCATTTACACACTGATGACAGGTACATTAAAACAGGCTTTGACTGCAATCTGAAATGAATATTGACAGAGTACTCATGACTACATTGATTTTTCCTGTAACTTTATCTTTGCTGTATCTTCACGGTCTTGCTCATGGGTTCCGTTTCATTTCTCTTTTACTCTTTTTACCATGAATGTGCAGGAAGTTGTCTAGTCCTTGTGCATGCTGTATTTGATATGATGTGTGATAGAAAGTCGACCAAGTTTGCATTCCTTCCTGACTGCTGTCCGGCCCTGTCCTGGCTCAGAGCACACAACTCTACTGTTGACATAACCATATTAGTCACAAGTTCCAAACTTTTCCCAGAAATGCCATGGCGTAAGTCCTCACAAAGCCTGCAACTTGTGGCATAACATGTTCACATGAAGCATATATATACAAAAAATTAGGTTGAAAAAGTAGACTAAATGCCATTTTAAGCAGTGACAAATTGAGGCAAAACAAGTATCAGCACAGATCAAAAAGGTCCGTATTTAAGTTATTGACCAGTGTAAATGGATTTCTTTACCATACACTAAAATGAAAAAATCAGGCAAATGCAAGTACTATCCAGACTTACATTTAGTCCTGCAGTCATAGAAAATTTCGTTTCTAATCATGACTCAAAATATTCAATTTCTGTGATATATGATTCATAATCATAGTACTCAAGACAATGTTTAAAAATTTGAACCATGATACATCACAAATGATTTATAGGGATGATAATGTAGAATATTGACACAGATATCCAAATCATATTATTGCAGGCTTCAATAAGACCATTCCACCTTCTTATCTTACCCCCCAGTAATGGCTTATCTCAGATCCTAGCAGCACAGTTTACTGAGGTGTGATCTACTGCCCTGTGCAAATTTACATCAACAAACATGCTAATATATACTGGGCAATAGCCTGGATTAAGTTAATACTTGTCCCAATTGCAGCACTCCGGAAAGTCTATAACATGTCTGAGATAAAAGGTAGTACTGGTAAAGGGTATTAAAGATACAACCAAGTAACCACATAATTCTACACATCTTTTAAAGAAAGAATAATACCTACAGAGTCATCATCATGAAACAGAGTAATCTGTAATTTATGACCATTCAGGGCTCGAAATTAACATTGTCCCAGTGTCAAATGACACTAAATTTTCAGCTTGGGACAATTCAAATTACGTTTTGGGACAATTTTGGGGCAATTGGAAAATTCTAAGACCATCCACGTCATTTGGGAACGCGATCCATCCATCCTGCTGCAGACTGCTGGCAGCCTATAAATATATAATACTCTGACAAACATTTAAATTTGACCAATCAGGGATTCCAAATATCAGGGATGGTGCCATGCCCATGATATTATCATGTATTTCCCTACATTTACTAATAAAGTGGACTTCAAGTTGTACAAATTCAGTTGTTGTTTTCTTATTTTTGTCATCAACTTATTTCCTGAAAAGCAGGCTGGGACAGTCCATCTTCAGTTCGGGACAATTGAAATCTATGTTCGGGACAATTATGGGACAATAGTGAAAAAAGTTAATTTTGAGGCCTGCCATTGCTTGTACTACTCGAATGTGTTATCGGGATTTTTATCAAAGAAATTACTTTTCCAATTCTTGCAGATATCGACATACAAGAAGATTTTAATATCCTATTATCTGTTATCTACGTAGGATGCCATTATGAAGACCTGAACAGTAGGGGGAGGCAAATTGAAATGGAACAAATTGGTACTGATGTCCCTTCTTTGCCTGTTTGATGGCACTCCCTGAGGCAATCTTATCAACTAAGCTCTTGAACAGCTATAGCAGTATGTGGTACTACTACTAGTACTAGAGAAGATTCAGACTAATGGAGGCTTTACCCCAGGCAAAGATGTATTAAAAGATGGTCAATGAATATAAAATTTGGAATCATTGAGATGTTGTGAACCTATTTTAAGTCATAAAGGGATGTGTCAATTCTCAAACAAACCATTTCTGTTTGCTTGAAGTTGAATTGCAGCTTCAATTCAAGTGCACCAGTGTTCTAGCCAGGATCTTTCAGTCAATTGATGGACTATACTGCTCACAATGACAAAAATGTTGCCCAATCCATCATCTTTGACAGACAAAAAATTGGCATGTAAAGATATAGAAAGACATGTCATTAAACTAAGCTTGGTCTATATCATCAGCAGAAATATGCAGGAAATAGTTTTTTTTAGATTCAAAAATTAGAAGGTCAAGATTTTAACATTTTCCTAGGAGAGCATGTCCCCAGACCCCCTTCAGTGCTCAACTTGATGTTATGCCAAACAAGATTGATATGACAAAAAAACTTCAGGCTGCCTAGAAGTAGAACACTGCTTGCTGCAACTCAATACTAGTATTTTCCTTACTAACAATTCCTCTTGTTGGCATTTGGCACACAAGTGAAAGCTAGACACTCCTAAAAACCGTTATCATGGGGATCTAGCTACCCTGAGTAGTCTATCAACTTGAGTCTCTCATGAAGTGATAAGAATCAGCAGGGGTTGTTTGTAGAACAAAAGACTTGGGATCATCAGCTTGTCAAGCCCCACTGGGTAACAAAAGCCAAGTGTTTATCCTATTCACACATCGCTATACATGGCTTCCTCCAAACAACAATGTATATCTGCTAACTCGAAAAGCTAGAGTACTTCTATTTCTTATGTGGCTATGAAATACATCTTAAAAAATTAAAAAGTCAAGGAAGCATTTATACACCTACTAAAGACGGACAAATTCATATTGCTGATGTACTCTCCAAGCAGAGATTTAGGCTTCGGCTTATTTTTTATGTTAGTTTTTAGGCATTTTCATGAAGCTTTCTTTTTTGTACTACTACAGCCAGTACTGGTATCTTCGGGTGGCAAATATTAACTGCCTCCTGGCCAATTTAATACTGTCTCTGCAGCCAAAAAAAAAAGGGGAACAGGTTTCTGTGCTTGAAAAAGGTGCGCAAGAAAAATTTGTGTGTGAAAAAATTTTGATTTTCTGAAAATGTATAGTACAAAACAGATCTACTCAGAGATTTCTGATGCACTTGTGCTTGAACAGGTCTTCCATAATTTTGTAAAATTCTGTATACATTTTCAAAGAAGCAAGAAGAAGCCAAATCTGCACTATATATAGTATATTGAACGGTAGCTTGTGTGCATGCTTTTGTAAACTTTCTTTCTTGTGACCTCTATTGTACTAGTAGTCAAACAAATGCTGAATGTACAATAAAAGTCTCCATTCATTCATTTTGGAAGGTGCACCTTATGGAAAATTTATTCATGAGTCAGTCGCTCTAGTCTAGGCGCTAGCATTCTCAGTAATTTGTACACGTAAAAATGACTAATCCTGAATACATGTGCTACAGTGTAATGCCTTCTGACACATGTAAGGACGTCACTGGGTATTTTTCAGCTAACATTCTGTCACCAGATTGAGTCAGAGAATTCGCATGTACTAATCTTATAACCCCACCATGTCGAAAATGGACTATTACAATTCACGTGTTCCCTCTAAGTCCATGTCCCCACCCGCAACAGCCCTCCCACATAACCAAATTTCCCATAAAATCAAATACCGGCATAAAATTCCTTTACAGGAAATAGTTACAATTTAATCAAAAGTGGAAATAACATATAAAACATGTTAGGGAAACGTATTTACCTCAGATTTTTTTCTAGGGTAAGAAATTAGAAAAGTTGGGAAGGATGGTTGCGAAAATCGCGACATTTTCGTCTTTGACAGACGGACGGGCGTGACATATAGCCAACATGTCTGAGGGGAAGAAAAATATCGTCTGGGTCGATTCGGTGTGCTGCTGTGTTTCACAGTCGATGCGCATTTCTTCCGTAGCCTGTTCTTTACCGGTTAGAAGAACATAAGGTCCATTTAAAGGGGATAAATCTGACGATTGTTCCCTCACGTGGCCTCAGCCGGCTCGTGCGATTTCCCGTCCGCCATGTTGAATGGGAACATCTACTATGAATCGTCTGACATTGGCGAATTTTCCTCACAAACGAGAGATTTGGGTCAATTACGATTAACTTTTCTCTCAGACTTCATTATACTCTAGCTAAAGAAAATATCTAAATGTAAATATTAAAGGTTGGACACTACAATGAGAAAATGTAACGGTCCCCGACTGGAGTCATAGAGGCCCTGGGGCGGGGGAGGCGAAAGCGCCCGCTCGTATCACTCACCTTGAAGCCGTTGCTCGTCGCCCATGGGCTCCCGTCCAAGCCGTGGATGGCGGCCTTCGCAACCTGCCCGGTACCCAACAAAGATTGGTCGATGTAGCTCTGCCAGCTCATGGTGAAGTGTGTTTTCTGACTTATTTTTTTCTTTCCTTGTTCCTTCTAGAAGATACTTCTGTGCACTTCTTTCCAACCAGGAAGACCGCACCGAAACGTCGGGTGGTGGCAGATCACGTGGTAGAGTAAGCAAATTGGCATGCGCTATCACTGGAACTACGTCTTATCCATCACAAGATAGAATATATTTTTCACTACAATATAGATTATAATAACATTTTGCGATGGAAAATAAATCTTCTACTTTCTCTATGCTATATTTTCTTAAAACACCGCCGCGTTGTTCTAAAAAAAGAATAGTGTAGTAACGTGCGCATTGATATCTTAGTCACACCGGTAATCAAACCAGTTACATCAGAGGACTTTCCCATTGGCTGTCTTCATGATCACATCAACCTTTCCCTCAGCATCTTCAAACGTTTAAAGATATCCTATTATGAATGGATAATGAATCTTATTTACGCACACAAACTTATTCTTTAGTATCGGTTTCGAAATTGTTTGAGTCAATTTCTAGCTGTTACAAAGTGATGGATTGGTACTGGGAACTTGGAATGAACCAAGTAGGCTTTCTGAGGGGTGTGGGACCAAAACAAAGGAAGGCCACTGTTGGACAAATGTGGCTCTTACAATCTTTATGTTGACCTTCGCATAAACATACTGTTTTTGCTCCGAGTAATTCTTTTTCCTTCCCTTTCAAACAAGTATAACTACTATAAGGTCAATGACCTGGACCAGACAGCTGTCAGTAACTGGTGGTAGACACCTTGTGGTGTTGGGTTACATTATGTAGCAAGGCAAAACACCATATACATGTATGTGAATGTATTTGTTGAAGAATGAATTTGTAACTTGTTAGGCTAGACAGGCTAAACCATGTGAAGGTAAAATATTATGCAGTATATCATTACTGATCATTGCTGGTATTATACAAATTGAAAAGCAAAGAAAAGCAGCATTTCTCTTTTTTGCAAAATTTTATATCCCTGCTGTGCAGATTTTCTTTTTTTGCTTTTTACATTTTTGCAACATTTTTGCTTTTCCATTTTTGCAAATCGCTTTGCCTCAAAAATGTGATCACCACTACAAAGACCAAAAAAAATTGTTGAAAAAAATATAAAAAAAATAAAAGATACATGTACCAATTAGTATATTAGGTATAACGTTAATTGCTGCTTTTTAATCATGTTTTCTCATGTTATTTTGATAGTGAATAATTTTATTGGGGACAAAGCTTAAGGATGAAATATATTACATTTGTACTATGAACTATGATAACTAACTTGGCCAAAAAAGATTAGAAAAATATTAAGTATTTAATTGCTGCCTCATCTTTGACCCCCTTTTGGAATATTGCACTTCAATTCTGAATAATCTTCCAACACCATTACTTTAGTTCATAGACATTATTAAGTGTATTATTTATGCATATCGACATAAGTGTAGTATTTATGAGATGATATTTTGTCCAGAAGTTGATCAGGTTAATCGGTGTAATATAGAGAGCTGCCGCCGCGCCGCGTGCCTGCGAAGCTAGTGTGTTACGCCGAAAGGCGGTTATACTGGCTACACAGATACAGATACAGGTGACTTCCTTGGATAATATCATAGATGACACTTGATGATCTAGTCTTAAAGGTCAACTACTGTATCTCACTGCACCAAATACTTGTCAATTGACAAGTCTGGGCAATCTTCTGTCTACAAGATATAGGACAAGAAATCTTTTCATATTTCAGACTTCTGGGAAGTATTTTGGGGTTTTGTGACCTACAAGTTCATACCTATGTCTGACCTTTTGACCTTTCATTCTGTCAATCTTAGTTCTCACACCCACGTGCTATCAACCTAATCTCTCTGGACAAAGAGACACAAAAACCAACAGCTCAGCCATCCAGAAACAATACTTCCGTACCTGGAAGTAACTACATGTGTTTTGAGACATGCATGCATTTGAGACCATACAAAGAACACATAATATGAGGCCTAGAAAAACACTTTTATTGACACTGCTATAAACATTGACATTGCTCACAAAAAATATTGAAACTACATTCCACTTTAGGACAACAATAGTAATAATGTTACTGTACAAAACAGCACTGCCACTGTGTAATAAAAACAGTTTGAATAAAACTTGGTGCTATCCAAAATGTTTTCCTGTGATCACTATGAAAAACATGAGCCATAGAATCCATTAGAAATAAGAAGAGTACATGTAGGGGTAGTAGGAAAATAACATTACATGGAACATAACCTAAAGAAAATTCACCTGACTGATGTTTTGGTAACTCCTTATTAATCAGTACTTTCCACAGTAGTTTCATTTAATAATGTTGTTTCACCTAAATATTTTCATTTTAACTCCTTTTAGCAGCCCTTCCACTGGTCAGGCCTCTAAAAGCTTGATGGCCAACACTTCAAGTTAGGAGAATTGTGAGTCTCTAAATTGACAGAGAATCCTGAGTTCCTATTGGACTGACTTCCATCAGATGATAAATGACCCTGAGCTCCTATTGGTAGTTCTGGGAATGGGAATGGTTCTCTAGAGTCAAAAGGTTCATGGCCAAAAGCTGTCAAGAAGGAGGCCCACAAAGCCAAATATAGTCCATGCCCGTAGCCAGGGGGGGTCGGACAAACCCCCCAACAAGGCTCAAAGGTCCACTTTTTGGTCCACTTTTTATCCAAGATTTTTTCTTTAAAAGATGGGCTGAATCGTATCACCTGGGCTGGAATCGTAGAAAAACTGAGCACTTTGTCATTGAATAAAAAGTCATCTCTGAAGTTTTCTTTGAAATCCTCTCAAAAATGCAGGAAATGCCATTTCAGAAGGTTCATTTTTCAAAAGTTTCTGGGGAGCATACCCCCATACCCCCCTAGGAACCTCGCACCCTCGGCACTTGCCTCGTGCCTACGGCGCTCGCTGGTCCCTCAAGCAGTGGGAAGAACCCCCCCATTCAAAATCCTGGCTACAGGCATGTGGTCACCCAAAACTGCCAGACTTCCCCCAACCATGGTTAGGAGGAAAGTTGGCTGTGACTGGCTGGTGTTTGGTGTATTATGTATTACATGTATTATATAGTAACAGCCAAAAGTTTCAAAATGTTGAAATCATTTGGATGTAAACAGGAGGTTGGGTCATGGTTAACTGGTAGTTGGGAGAAGGTTAGCAGTCAGGTTGGCAGTTAAATTTGACTCAATTTAACTCAAATTTGATTTGATTTGTATCAAAAGGAATCTGATCACACTGCTCCTGAACTTGGTTTTTGAAACAGTGTTTGAGGGAAGATTCTGAATGTGGAATAAGGACTGAAGAGGGCTAAGGGTGGAAATGAGTGGGTCTGTCTAAGGTTTAAGTCTGTTCCATGGGTGTTTCTCCTCCCTTGTAGTGTCTGTACTCCGGCTTCAGCTCCCAGGTGTTTTTGTGAGGAGCCTTTAGGTTGTAAGTGGCTATCTCCTTCAGAACCTCCTTCAGGTATTGCTGGAAGAGAGAAAATACAAGACTTAGTATGTTCAGCCCTTATACTTCCTTACCTATCAAAATAAGTTTACATGTACATGTATCTCATGTACATGTAGTTTCCTGGCCTATCAAAATAAGTTTACATGTATCTCATAGTTTCAACAATAAATTTTGAAATTTCAATCACAACACTGCATTTTGAAATTAAGGATTATCTTCAAGTGTTGATGCCAGAATCTGAGCATTTTGGAGTTGATTCAGAATCTGAATGGTACATTTTTTTATGGGTTCACCACACCACGAAGTGGTGTGGTGAAACCATATTGCTTTTTCTGATGTTTCTTCTTCTCCTCCTCCTCCTCCTGCCATATCTTTAAATGGATTCAGCTTCTTCATTTTAGGGCCTAAGGTCCTGAAATTTGGTATGGAGGTACAGTGGGCAAATACCCCTAGGCGTTTTTTAAATTATTGTGATACAGGCTTTTAGAATGGTTTTATTTGAGTTTTTTGGCTGTGTTATAGCAAATGTATTACTGTGTTAGTCTGCCTTGTTTACCACGTTTGGGCATGAGTCATCAGAATGGAATGCAGGGCATCAACCAATAGGCATGCAGCTTTCCTCTATACTTCTTGCTGATTGGCTGTTGGGATTTAACTTGATTAACACCTGCACAGAAGCATTTCCATACTGACAGTATGTCTGTATTCAAGTGTTTTGGTAGGTATTTCAAGCTTTCCTGCTCCAGCATTGGAATGCCGGGCATGGACGTTTTTTTTTATTTTGAAAATCAACAGTTTGCATTATGCAATTAAAAATCCTAACCAATAAAGTAGGGAATAGCTATCCAACTGTTGTTTTAGTTGTATTTTACTTCATATTATAGTTATATCAATGTAAATCATTGTTTTCCCTTGTGTTTCCCATTCTTTCCCTGCCATGTCGTAAAATGTGGTGAACCCATCGCTGTATTTGCTCCAAAGCAAATATTGGCCTTTCTAGTTTTTTATTTCTTTTTGGAAATCAGAACAAAATTCTGCCAAACAAGAAATTATAATGTGTTCCTTATTGAAGTTCATTATCAATGAAAGAGTTGATAACATACCACAGTTGATTCAATAGCTGCCTAGATTACTGTAAAACATTTGTTAATTAAAGGCATCCAATGCAACCCTGTTCTAAATAAGGCGATCTTTGTGATATTGACACATACTGCTTCACATTAGCACATTTGAGTCAGCATTTTATACTTTCGGCACGTAAAACTGCAGAAACAAGTTGACGAGTTCTTTCTTTTCTGGATGGTACCCTAAAAATCAGCCCAGAGCCCTTCCACTAACAATTTTCAGACAGAATTTGGGAATTTTTGGGGGTCAATATGTACATTGGGATAGTGTGGTTTCAACTCAGTATCGATGTAGATAAAGGACTAGAATATTGACTTTGAAAAATCGGGTTTCCAAGCCCTAAAAACTGCATTGGATGCCTTTATTTAAGCATAGCATAGTATGCTTCTCAATTTTCAGTTTACCCCCCTTCTAAATTAAATGACACAATAGGAATTGCTTACAATAGGCTGTTTAGTAATCTCGACCAGATCCTTGATGTTGTAGTACTGATGCTTCTCAAAGGCAGAGAACAGCATCTCCTGAACCTTCTCAGGATCAGCACGTGCTCGCTTCCCGTCTTCTTTTTTTCTTCGCTCAACCTCCAACTGTACATGTAAAACAGTGAGACTTCCTGAGTTTCTAGAGTAAGAAATTTTTAGTCACATAAGAATGTTATCTATTACAGGTACTAGTAATGTGGCGATTGCGGAGAAACAATGGCAAAAGCGGAAAGACAGACGTCGAACTTATTCCACAAGGTGGATGTGATTCAACTGACAGCGAGTGAGAAGGAATTATCGGTCGAAGGAGCTTAGATTAAAGGAGTTTGCAGTCGGAAGAAACATGGCTTGGAGTCGACAGAAACTTTGTTGCTTGATTCGCTTTCAAGTTTTCTGTAGGTAACATCGATGTTACACGTACACAAGAACAGTAAATGGCAACCAGTGATTTTGTATATTTTAGTGGGAAGGTTTCATAGTCCCAGTAGATCAACTGAGTATCATGTCGAGTGCATGCAGTTTTGATATATAATTTTTTTTCAAGCCCACAACTAAAGCAAAAGAACAACAATTGAATATAACATGTAATGTTACATTTGAAAAGAGACTTACCTGTGCAATGAATGTTTTCATATGTTTGAGAATAAAGACATAAATACATCTTTGTTCAATGGTACTGAAAGCATGTGTCACTTGGGGGGGGGGGGAACTAACCGCCATTTCTCTATAGTGGTCACCTGGTCATAGTGGTCAATTTTGGCCAGTCCCTTGAGTGACCACTATAGACAGGTTTGACTGTATATCTATTATCTCTTGTAGAACTTACTGTACCTTTTGAACAAAATGCCCGTGATGCAGTCGACAGAAAAAGGGCACAGTACGAAGACTTGCTGAATGAAATTCAGTCATTATAGCAGCTACAAAGCTACTCTAACTTGTAACGATTGAAGTAGGAAGTAGGGGGTGGGTAAGTGGGGAAAACACCTCGTAGTTGAAATCGCTGTGTTGTCAACCACAAGAACAGGGAAGTACGACACAGCAAATCAGGAAAATTCTACCACAAATGACAAGCAAAAAGTCTGAGATTTCAAACTTATTGGAAGAGTTTTGGGGCCTTTCTAAAAAAAGGAACTGCATTATATGATCATAGGGGAAATGCCTGATTGAATTACATCACAGAATGGATTAACTTCATCATCATCTTCTATGCCACATTTTAGTGCTTTGCAACATTTATAAGAAAGGATAACCCCCCACTGTCATCATACTCACATTGTTGGGATGGTTGGCCACAGGTTTGTAGTTGTTTGTGACAGCCCTGTCTAGTGCCATGGTGGTTCTCATTGGTGTTATTGCATCCAAAACTTGTAATCTGTAAGATGACATCCATATACACTTTATTGTATACTCTGAAGTAGTGTGCAATTTTTACTTCCAAAAATTATTATCTGACAGTATTGTAAAATAACACCCTTGTTTCTTTGATTCACAATCATGTTATCTGAGAGCGTGAAATACTGGGTGAACATGCAGGCTTGTGCTGGTAAAATTGGGGCTGTGCAGGTACTTCTAATGTCCACCTGTACCCACTAGTAACCTGCACTGGTCCATGTACTTGGTTTATACATGTACGTGTATCAGCTGATGTGTACTATGTGGATTTTTATTTGCTGTCTTGACTGTTACCACCTATATAGTATAAAAGAATTGCAATAGCTTCTGAACAGTTTTTAGTATGACCCATACTTTTCAAAGTCTCAGTGGTGCACTGCGGGTAAAATTTGTCTGGTGCAGGTAATTCAGCGGTGCAGGCATGCAGAAAAAAGGATTTCAAGCCCTGGTTTGTGTGAATCTACTAACAGAACCACACTTGACTGGATAAACCACTAAGATAGTAGGAACGTCACACAGTTTATCAAACTAACCTTTTCAGCTTCATGTAGTGCTCTCCCCCTACCGGTCGGCAGTCCACTCTATGTGCCACCTTCCCTTCCAAAGCCAAGGCTCCTAAAACAAAGAAAAATCAAAGATTTTAGACTTCCAGAAAGTACACAAGTCCCTCCTGAACTCTTCCATGTTCACCGCTAATTCCTGTTTGCTACCCAGCCAGATTCTGATAGCCTTGACCTCCAGTCACTCTGCCTGTCAATCTCCCCCCACCCATGTGCTGTCAACCTACTCTACACAGACAAGCAGACACACGACCCCACAGCTCAGCAACTCAAAACAATACTTCAAAATATAATTTTATAATTCAAAAACAAAAGCATACTGTTAGACAGATAGACAGATACTCACCATTTGATGAGGAGCCTGCCTCATCAGCTATGAACAGAAAAAAAAATCATTGTTAAAACAATATAACAGCATTTGAAACGTCATTACTCTGTGAATGTGCACTTTCTCAACTTTTTACCAAATTTTGTTATAGCCGTGACAAGGCCTTAAGAAGGTACCGGTATCAAGAATGACTGAGTGAACTTCATGTAGTATAGAATGTGATACGTGTTCATGAAACAAAACACTTTCATAGTTGAGAAGCTCAAGAGCTTTGGATGAAAAATTTTAAACATTTGTGGGTGCAGTGTTCTAGCCATCTTTCTGACTGAATTTTACCACTCATGACAGACAAGAACAGACAAAAACCAGTGTGGAAAGATGTGGAAAGAGATGTCATTAAACTAAGCTTCGTCTAAAAATTTGCCCATTAAAATGCAAAAAAATAGCATTTCAGAGGGTCAAAATTTAACTTGAGGCCACACCAATTTAATTTGTTGGTTGTCTGATTTTTTCAGAAAAAATATGAAGCGACAGGGCGAAAAAATATAAAAATAAAAACAGGTCTAGGCATCCTATTATAGGCTTAAATGCTATGGAATGAGCCATGAAGTCAACACAAAAGGCTGGGTTAAAATTTAAACATTGAATTTTGAACTTTTAATCAAACCACTGCAATGATAGATGGAAAAACTGTAACAACTAGGAAGAAAAGGACTTTCCTCAACTGTTGGGGGCAAAACATGAGCATTTTTCAGTTGATTTTTTTTTGCAAATCAGAAAAAAACGAAGAGGCGAATCCGAGAACCAACAAATTAAATTGGTGTGGCCTGATGACAGGAAAAATTTCAGGCTGACTTGAACCAGGCCTAGAAATTAAAGGTGGTCCAATGGCCACTGACCACTAAAATTTAGGCTGGGACAACAAAAAGGACACTTTGGGACATTTTTGGGACAATTAGAAAAATAATCAGCATCAGAATGTCAGCCCTTCTTTTGTTTATCAGGCACACGTCCCGGCTTTTGGACCTGGAAAAGTCCCCCCGAATTTCCTGTCTACTCTGCAATGATAGTGTGGCCTGGGATCAAGTGCAAAAATAAAGTTGACTTCAAGTTGAAGTCATATAATAATAAAAAAAAAACAGTTCATCCTCACTTCAGGACAATTGAAATTTATTTTTGGGACAGTGCTGCATGGGGCAATAGGAGGAAAAGTTTCAAGGACTGTATAACATTGGCGGAACCTCATGGACCGTGTAAGAAAACGCTTTTATAAGTTACACTATAAAGTCCATACAGAGCACACATACACATATATGGTAAAAAGTACAACTGTGCCCAGCCCTGGTCTATACATGTGTGCTCACCTCTCTTGGTTTGAGAGAAGACCATGAGCGACTGATTGGAAACTCCAGAGAACACAAGTTTATGGTGGCGGGGTAAGACATCGGGGGTAAACTCCCTGCGGGGTTTTCGAGGGGCGCTCACTTCACCCCGTCAACAAATCAACACACAAACACACACAGAAAACAAAGACGGAAATCCAACCTGCTCACATCATTCAGTTCAATGAAGAATTGAAAAAGACAGGATATATCAGCACTGTGTACCTATACCAGAGTGCTACCATCATCTTTCGAGAAGGAAGGATACCTCCAGTACCTTTCATAAACGAAACATCAGGTACAGATATAGCTACAGAGGGTTAGGTACATGTACAGAGGTTTGGGTACCAGTACAGAAGTTTAGGTACAGGTACAGGTACAAAGGTTTAGGTACAGGTACCGGTATAGAAGAAAAAATTATAGATTAGTAGTTTTATAGAAGACCAGTACAAAAGTTTAGATACTACTGGTACAGACGTTTAATAGCCACAAAGTTTTCAGTAACATCACTAACAAAGTAAGTAAACAAGAATTACTGGTATATACTTCAGCATAAGTCTAGTCAGGTACATGTACATTTTTTGTACAGTACTGGCACATTGATGTACCTTTATTTTGGACATGTACCTACTGGAAAAATATATGGAATTCATGGTTCTGTACCAGTACGCAGCAATACATGTAGATTACGTGAGGACCTTGCAATTTAAAAGCAACATGAAAGCCATAGCTAGTGCAACAGACAGCACGGTTTGTTTCATGGTAACCTTCAAAACACTCATATAACAAACCCTTGCTACTTTAAATGGGTCTCAAAAGCAGAGAGAAATTCTCCCATTCCCCGTTCCTACCAGCTGATCCAGATGTCTGTGAGAAGACTCCCATTGGCTGCCCCGCCGTGCCAGACAGGACGAACTTGTGCTCGCGCGGCGCCTCCGAACAACCCTTCCCATCATCCCTCTGGGCAAGATCCTCCTTCAAGGAGAAAATAACCTGGGAAGCAAAAGAAAAGGAATATCAATTACAAACACTTCTTTTTTCAGCAAGCAATCTGACATTTTACTTAGACTTCTTCGGAATGTATTTTGGGTTTTCATGACCCTCAAGTTCAGAGACCTCCAGGAAATAGGTATTTGTGAAGGTACAGGAATTGTATGATGTAATTCAATCAGTTATTACACCATTTCCTGACTTACACATACTCAAACCTGTGTGCTGTGTCACCTTCAAGCTTGACCTTCCTATCACGTTTCAATCATCTGTCAAAATCACCTCCCACCCACCATGCAATTGAAGCAATTAGACTAGACAGAGAGACAAACCCATAAACTCAGCCACCCAAAACAATACTTCAATACCTAGAAGTACAATGTGTTAAAGATATGCAAAAACTAGAACTTTTAACTGCATTTAGATAGATGTACTAACAATAATGTCCTCAAATAAACTGATCCATAAAATAGTTACAAGATTTAGAAATCTAAAAGCAACTTCATACCTCTGGCTTGGGAGCTCCTGGTCTCCTAAATAAAAAATAATAAATTTAGAATCAGGTAGATGAGCTACATGTACATGTGAGATGACCATGACCAATGATGGCAAGCACATTCATGCCATGGGTAGAAAAAACATTCATTTGATTTACCTTACACATGTACAAAATGCATCATTCTCCTTAGAGATATTTACTAAAAACTAGCCACCTTGCAAAATCTACCTAAAATGCAATCCATTTCACATCTGCCATACCCCGACAGACTAAGAGTATTGGGATTACCAACACTGTACTTCCGTAGGCTGAGAGCCGATGTGATTGAGTTGTACAAGATCTCACATGGATTTGATAAACTGCGGACAGAAAATCACTGTAACCTCTGTAACAGGTCAATGTTCATGCCCAGTTTATCGAAAAAGACTACAGGACATGCCTACAAGTACCAGGTACAAAAATCAAATGGACCCAGGTCTAACTTCTTCCCTGCAAGAACAACCCCAATTTGGAATAAACTGTCACCAGCCACAGTAAACAGCAGCTAAGTAAATGTATTCAAGACCAAGTTGGCTATAGAGTGGAAGGATCACCCTGATAGATACGGATACGTCTTCTCCTACTGAATGCCCAAACTGTCTACACCACGAAGACGGCCTCGTTACCCAGTAAGGGTACCTAATGGCCTGGATTCAGGTGAATATTCAGGTGAATATTAATCGTCCTACTAAAGTAGTCAACCTACTACTACTGAAGTGCTTCAAACCGATTGTTAGTCTGTTACACTATATTATAATCTATACTAGTGTTAGGTACATATGGCAAATACATCAAGAATGTTTAGACCTTAGAATTAGTAACTATTTGTAAACAATACATTAAACTCAACATGTTGATTTATCCATGTACTTGTATATGTGTGTAATTTGTATCCACAATGTTTTAGCCTGGGTTCCAAACCCATAGCACACTGGACACAAAGTATCTCAGTTGGCCTGGTACTTTGTGTCCAGTGCAGTGTGACTGTGATTGGGTTTGGAACCCAGGCTACAATGTTTGTATGTATGCTTGTAGGAGGCTTTTAAATGTTGCTGTAGTTTAAATTTGTAGTGTCATAATGAGTAACATCACCTGTTGATCTTGAGTGTGCCCACCTCTCCATCCTCCACTGTCATCCATTTGTTAGACATGTACTTTGGCACCTGGAACATCAAACATACCAGGGACTGGTGAGAATCAAATGTTTGTATTTCGCATAACCAGTGTAAACCACCTTCTTTAATTAGATATCTTATATCTGCTAAGTAAAAGCTGCATAAGACCGGACTTATAATGGTTTGAACCACTCACACCGGGAAGAAGATCCTTTCATTTTCAATAAGGCCACACCGATTTAATTTTATGGTTGACATCCTCTGAAGACCCCCAAACTAGTGCGTGCGGGCGAATTAAAAACAAATTCCGGCCAAAAATAAAAATGCTACTAAACTACAGGAATACAAAGCTGGTTTTGTGAATTTGCGTCAGTACTTAGCAACGTATACGACATGCTGGCTTTTTGCGGCATTTATGAATCGGTACTGTACTTATGTACTTTCTTGAGTCGCGGAGCTTCGAATTCAATAGCCTGGGTGCCCGGCTCCGTATTGTCGCTAACTACCATGGACTACCCAGGCCAGAGCCTCGGCGGACGTAATCTTTTTTTTTTTTGAGGGCGACAGGCGAAAATCAGTTTTCGCCCTATGGGGATTTCTACAGTTAAGGACCCCAAGATGACTCACTTCGACGCGGTAAAAATTATAGCAGGGTGCATTTCACAAATACGAAAATCGAATATGTTTCAGAAGAAGGTACAAACTACAAAATATCTAGAAACCAAAAAATCCTGTCGGCGTATCTGCTCGTAACGTACACTTTGAAATCGCCTCCTACGGACGTGACCTGAACTGCAGCCGACTCACCCGGAAAGCCAGTTGCGCAATACGGCGCATTTATACACGAACTGCAAAACCTTCACAATTCAAATCATACAGTCTCAAACTCGATACATTCCTACACCACACAGCACAATTTACATCTGGCTGACGCTCTTATCAGGCTTTCTACCCAGCCTTCAAGAATATTCGCTGCACTACTTTCTATACCCGCGTCATCGTCCCCGGCGGTCGCCCATTAATACTGTGACCTGCTACCTCAATGCGCGCGCGGATGTCATCCATAAAATTAAATCAGTGTGGCCTAAGTGTGCTGGAGATGTGATCTTATCAAAATAATTTTTCTCTTCCAGCCTCCAGTTGAGGGCGGTTATTTTCACACAATCACAACAATCGGCACATCGGAACAAACCTTCACAAGCCACAGGTTGTTACTGGATCCCTTGCAGTCCAAGTCGCTACTTTTCTTCTCCATATCTTCTGTAAAATATTAGAAAACACCGGACAAAAAATATCACAAGATGCAAGTGCAAAACTGCGCGTTTCACCTCTGACCTCTACCCTTTGACACTGCTAAACGACCGTTTTTTATATTTTACGAAATTGTAACCTCTAGAAAGTCAGTGGATAGTTTATTAAATGAGATGATCATATATACATGTAGTATCATAAATATGGAAATGTTTGCAAAAAGAAAATATATCATTTAACCTCTGACCCCAGTTGACAAAGATTTGGCGGGAAACATTTTCTGTGCGTAGTTAGTTCTTGAAGTAAAAAAGGCGGCCTCTAGTCGAAGTAACAGGCCACAATGCAGGCGTTTCTGAAGGGAGGGAGCTCCGCTGGACTGAAGTCGAAGAAGGACAAATCTTTGTCAGGTATGGGTTACTAAAATACAGCCTTATCTGCGATAAAAGTCCAGCTAGCTAGCAGTCTTACGCTTTGCCCCCCTCCCCACTTCTGTAGTGTAATACCTGTTGCTATAAATTTAGCACAAGGTTGAATCCTGTGAAACGTAGCTCATAGAGATCACGTCAAGGAAAACACTAGACGTAGACGTAAACAAGAAACGTAGGTAACGTAGCGTACATAGTCCAGTGGTTAGCAGCCATGCCTCCAAACCAAGATTGGAGATGGAGTGGCTCTAGATAACCAAGGAGCATCAAATCTCTTTGAATTAAACCTAAGTAGCAAACTATCAGTGTAGAAAATTATGCAATGTTACTGACAGTTACTAAAAAGTTACTGACAGTCGCATTCTAGTAACATTTTAATATTGCAGTTGCACTGTCACAGCTGTATTACTCTTTATGTCCTACCTGGGCCGCGATTACGTTCGATACGGGTGTTCCGGCCCGTGTGATAACTAGCGGTACGGCCCGGGGGTTCTTAACGCGTACAGCCCGGGGCTTCCAAATGTTCCATAGAACGATTCGAACGCATTTCAGCCTAACCGCGTGCACCGATTTCCAAATTCGAATACAGAATCCGGACGTTGGAACTGATGTTGTCTCATTTTTTGGGTTTAGGGACCAAAATTTTCGCTCTTTTCGCATTGAAAGGTGCGTTTCCTTGGGTGGGTATGACATAAATAAAATACAACACGGTGTATTCCGCATCACCCTCGGTCCCAGTCCTCCCGTGGATCGGATCTCCCTCCGGCCTTCGGCCGTCGGGCGATCCGACGCGCGGTCGGGCTGGTACCTCGGGCGATACGGAATACACCGTGTTGTATTCTATATCTATATCATACCTGGGCCGCGATAACGTTCGATAACGGGTTCCAGACCGGGCCGTACTTTACGGTACGAAAATTTGAAATTTAAATACAGAATTTGGACAATTGGAATTGATGTTGTTGCATTTTTTAGTTTAGGGACACCAAATTTTGGCTCATTTTGCATTGAAAGGCGCGTTTTCTTGGGTGGGTATGACATAAATAAAATACAACACGGTGTATTCCGCATCGCTCTCGGTTCCCTCCCTCCCGCAAGTCGGATCGTCCGACAGCCGCAGTCGGGCTGATGCCTCCGGCGATACGGAATACCCCATGTTGTATTCTATATGTATACAGACAAGTACTTGTGCTTCCTAACAATTCTTCGTACTGATCTCTTACTGATCATTACTGTCTTAGCAGTACATGAGAGTTACACTACTCGCTACTTGTGAGTACTGAAATGTTCTCCATGTGTTTATACTTTCAGATGCCAAACCAGGATCCAGCAAAGAGAGAAGGCAGCCCAATGCACCATGGGTGGAGAAATAGTAAGTATGCCAGTCAGTAGTGAAGTTTCTGTCTAGTTGTTTGTTAACTACATATAACTTGTTTGTAACTACACTAAAGCACACCAGTTTTACCTCTAGTTATAGAAGTATTGACATGTTTACGGTGACTGAGCTACATGTACATACATGTATGTTGTGGGTTTGTATATGTCTGTCCAGAGAGAGTAGGTTGACAGCACATGAGTGGGGGAAAGATTGACAGGCAGATTGACTAGTGGTCATAAAGGTCTATATTGACACAACAAATGGTTCTCGTCGGGAGCCAGCAGGAATTAGAGATCAACATGGGGGAATTCAAGAAGCCAAAGATAGAATGAAGAACTTTCCAAACTTCTCAGAAGTCTGAAATCCTTGATTCCTTGTTAGAAATGTATCGACTCTAGTCTCTATATTACTTTTCCAGCCGCCCGCGTACGGTGGATGACGTCGCCTTCCAGGAGGAAGTTGTGGCCGTTCTCAAGAAATCCTTACAAGGAGCTGATGTGAGAATATTCCTTCATTTTTGCCTTCATTTGTTTGCTGTTGTTTCAAGTGTCAAAGCTTCTTGACGTGTAACTTTTAGCATTCAAATGTTTTTTTTTATATTCCAACATGTAATCACAAGATGTGGTGACGGCACACTCAAGTTTTTTCAAGTTATGTTAATACCGCCACCAACACAGGGGACAATACAATAATCATTTTCACCTGAGCGAAGTGAGGAAAGTCGTGTAAAGTGCCTTCCCCAAGGGCACAAGATTGGTGACATGTCAGGACTCGAACCCGGGACCTCTTGGTTCCGAGTCAAGCGCTTTGCCGCTACGCCACACGACCCCATGTTTTTTGTGTGTAGACAAGGCCCCTACAATAGTGCTTGCTCAACTATGGGCTCAAGGGCTATAGAAACAGAGATGGGCACTGCCTTATACATCATAAGGTTAGGAAGGATTCTAACTACATGTAATTAACTAATAATGTGTACAATACTTACCTTACTCATTGAGTGGTTCAAGTTGAGTAGTGTACTTGAGACCTGCACTAGTACTATCCATTAGCATTACCTTACAATTTTCTATCTGTTGCTACATGTATGTGACAAACATGCACATTTATGCACTGATTGTTCACCCCAGCTGCCCAACCTACTGTTGTATGGACCTCCTGGTACAGGAAAGACTTCCACCATCCTGGCTGCTGCAAGGGAACTCTTTGGGTAACCTCTTATTCTTATATATCTTAGAGCCCTGCTTTAACACTGTTAGATACAGAAGTACAGTCAAACCTGCCAAGATGACCACCTCTACAAGCAGGCCACCTGTCCATGGTGACCGCTTTTTGTCAGTCACAAAAAATTTCCCCATTGATGCAAACATTAAGCAACCTGTCCAAGGTGACCACCTGGCCAACACGACTGTGACCGCCCTGAGTTTGGTCCGCTCAAGGCCCGATACCTGCCCATGGTGACCACATCATTTTCGATCATGTTGATTATTGATGATAACTAATGAGAAATCACGGAGAGACCAGCCAGTTTTCCTTGACTGCTGGATGATGTTTTTGTTTGAGGTAAATTGTTCCGCCCTCCCCACATGCATTTACAGCATTTGACATTAGAATATCTCGACTTGAAAACCATTTATGTCTCAGTCATGTTGTGAGGTGACCCTCTTCAAGGAGACCACCTGTCCAAGGTGGTCACTTTTCTTTGGTCCCCTGGGTGGCCGGGCTTGGACAGGTTTGTCTATTGTTTTGGGTAGCTGAGCAGTGGGCTTGTGTGTTGACAGCACATGGTTATAAGATTGACAGGTCTAAAGGTCAGACACAGGAAACAGGTTGAGCCTGAGAGAAGGTTGACAGCATGTGGGTGGGGAAGATTGAATTGCAGTATGACAGAAAGACGAAAGGTCAGACACAGGAAATGGGGTGAACTTGTATGTCAAAAAAACACAAATACTTGCCCAAAATCTCTGGTTTCTCTTTTCTTGTTCTAGTAGAACATGTTTTCTTGTAATTGTAACAAATAATGAAAATAAACCTTGTTAGACTCAGGAAGTTACATGTAGATACTGCAATGTTGTATAAGGCCACACCAAGTAAATTTTATGGATGACGTCCTTTGGAGACCCTAAATCTAATGCGAGAGGGCAAAAAAAAAACAAGAAGGGCCCTAAAAAACAAGATGCCTAGACTAGAAATATACTAAGAGACGACAAAGGTTAGGACACAAATTGAATGAGGTGACACAGTGTAACAAGCAAGAAGTCTTTTATTCATCATCAAAACAGCAATAAGTCAGGTGGAACAGCAGTTGTCTTCCTGTCCTGTTTCTTTAATCACATTTTTTGCAGGCCCGCTACCCACTTCGCGTTACGGGTTTCACGCCAATGTAACGATTTGCGGCACTGTCGTGACTCTTTGGTCATAGTTAAAGGAAGTGGAATTTCTTGGTTTTTTTTCTAGGAACAGGCCAAAATCAATGCGCGCGCGGACGTCATCCATAAAATGTACTTGGTGTGGCCTAAATGGAACTGTCCTCTGTAATAGCCTTCTCACTGTAATAAGTAGTTTACATGTATCCTTCTGTTTTGTATGTCCTAACAGACCAGCACTGATGAAGCAGAGAGTTCTGGAGCTGAATGCCTCTGATGAGAGAGGTATCCAGGTGAGAGAACACAACTTACGACACAAATTCAGAGATTTCGGACCTCCATGAAATGTTTAGATCGTGTGTGATGGTGACGGCGTCCTCTTCTCATCCACAATGGTGTCTGCAAGTCTTTCATTTTCGTGCAAGGGACACAACATCAGCTGTCAAGGAGGTCATGTAATGAAAAACACCTGTGAAAATAGCTACCAGATGTAGACTTGATTAATGGCTTTCCCCCTCAGGAACAGACTGAACCCTGGAACCAGGTCCATTAAAACTTGAACTAAGATGCATGCGGAAACACAGACACACACACACACACACAGACATACCAAAACAATACCTCAATTTTTCGTGGAGGTAACAATGGGTGGGTTACAAGCATTCTCCAAGATTACCTGTCTAAAAGGTTACCTTGACCAAAATTTTACTCCCCCTACTGACCTTTCTCTGTATTGCAGGTGGTTCGTGACAAGGTGAAGACATTTTCTCAGCTGTCGGCATCAGGAATAAGGCCTGAGTAAGTGAAACTACTATAAATGAACCTTCATGGATCCAACATAGTTGTGTTTTAGTTTTTTAAATTTAAAAAAAAAAGTCAAGTCGAGTTTTAAAATTTTGCCACAGGTGTTTATTTTCAGAAAGAGTTACACATTTATCTAACCACAACCAACATCAAAACAAACATTGCTAGTACATTACTAGTACATTGGAGGGGAATAGTGTAGCGTGGTGAGTCCCAAGAAAGAAAGAAGTACAACTCACATTGTGTAACTATCAGTAACAAAGCTATAGAAAACTGAGCTTTGTGTAAAGTTCATAGAAAAGTTCTCATACTTAATGCATGGGTGTGTTATAGGAGTACAATGTCATGCTAAGATAGGTTCGCTGCATGGCTTCAACAACACATTCTGAAACAGGTTTGAACTGTTATTCCCAACATTGGAAATTGGAATTACCTACGTGTAATTTGGGGCTGTTCTGCTCAAGGAATGAGCAATCCACCACTTTTGTGACATTACCAAATTTTTGTATGGAGAATTACAGTTTAAACCTGTTTTAGAATGACTTCTACCAACACATAAGGAAGTTTTAAGCTGATAACAATCCATTCTGTTTCAGTGGTCGTCCGTGCCCACCTTTCAAAATCATCATCCTGGATGAGGCAGACTCTATGACAGGTGCAGCACAGGTAAGGATTGGCAACTAAGGTAGCCGTACAAAAGGCAACTTCTTAGATTCAAATTTCAAACGAGATTCAAACAATGTTATAATACAGGAATTTTAAGCACAAAAATGATGTTATGACATATCAAGTGTATATAGAAAGCATTAAATGTCTCTTATTTGTCAGGCATCCTTAAGGAGAACAATGGAGAAGGAGACTAAAACTACCCGCTTCTGTCTCATCTGTAACTACATCAGCAGGTAGGTATTGTAGTTTATCTCATACCTGGGCCGCAATTACATTAAATACAGGTGTTCTGGTCTGTGTGATAGCTAGTGGTATCACACGGGGTTCTATTTGATTATCACATGGGCTTCCATAGAATAATTCGAATGACTTTCGTCAAGTGTGCCACTTTCAAATTTCAATACCGGATTCAGACGGAATTGATGTTTTTACAATTTGTTATTTAAGGATTTTATAGATAAAATACACACCATGCCTAATTTCACAAAAGACTAGGGGCATGCTCTGGTGTGTCCAAATGCTACTACTGGTATCTGGAAGATAGTGTAAGTAGCTGAAATAGAACACCCCCGGGTTGGCCCATACCATTCCAACCCGGGGGTGAACTAGAGCACATGGAAAGCTGTGTATTGTCTACAGCAGAATAGATTCAGCTCCACACTACTCATCGTCTGGCCTCCTTGTCTGCTAAGTATACGGAACTTACACTGGTGGCAGCGGTGTTCGGACTCTTCGCCGTCCCTAACCACCGGACTTATTCGTCAACAACCGGCGGATCGCTGCGTTCGCCGCCTCGGCAGTACTCGCCCCCTCCCCCCCTCTGGCCCATGTGCGTCTACCTTCAACTTCCCGGACCGCTACGCTCTCTTTCCTGTCAAGGTAAGCTGTCGGCTCGCACTGAACTGTTGAGAATTTGGAACTGCCC